CCTGCAGACCCTTCCCTGCTGAGGAATTCTCACTCAAGCTCTGCTATCAGGCCATCACTCTCCCTCATTTCAGGATCCATCTGAGAGTAAAGCCTATCTGATTCCCTGCTCTCCCAATCAGAGCACGAGGCTTGGTCCAGGCTTCAGGGCCTCTCCCCGGAATTCCAGCCTGTGATTCCAGTTAGCTGTCCATGTGCCACCTCCACCTTTGGGACATCTCGGAATCACCATGTCCAAAACCCACCTCCTGCATCTTTTTCATAGCTATCGGAATAGAGAAAGTTTAATTAGAATTATTAACTAAGCCTTTTAAACTTCTAAAAATCAATGGAAAAAATATCCTCACGTGAGGATTAAAAGATAAATAATATTTGACAAAGGATGCAAAAGCATACAATGAAGTCAAAACAGTCTCTTCAATAAATAGTATTGGGAAGACTGGACAGCAGATACATGCAAAAAAAAAAAAAAAGAAAGAAAGAAACTAGACCACCAACTAACATCATACACAAGAATAAACTCAAAAAGGATAAAAGACTTAAATGTAAGTCGTGAAACCATAAAAATCCTAAAAGAAACCATAAGCAGCAAAATCTGAGCCATCTCTTGTAGCAATATGTTTACGGATACATCTTCCAGGGCAAAGGAAATGAAGGAAAAAATAAACAAATGGGACTACATCAAAATAAAAAGCTTGTGTACAGCAAAAGAAACCACAGACAAAATGAAAAGGGAGCCCACTGTATGGGAGAACATATTTGGCAACGACACAACTGATAAAGGGTTAATTTCCAAAACATAGAAGGAACTCATGCAACTTAACAAAAGGAAGACAAACAATCCAATTTGAAAATGAGCAAAGGACTTAAATAGACACTTCTCTAAAGTGGACAGATGGCCAAGAGACATATGAAAAAATGCGCAAAGTCACTGATCATCAGAGAGATGCAAATTAAAACGACAATGAGGTACCATCTCACACCTGTCAGAATGGCTACCATCAACAAACGAACAAATGACAAGTGCTGGCGAGGATGTGGAGAAAAAGCAACCCTAACTCACTGCTGGTGGGAATGCAGACTGGTGCAGCCATTATGGAAAACAGTGTGGTGTTTCCTTAAAAAAGTATATATGGAACTGCCATTTGACCCAGTGATCCCACTTCTAGGAATATATCCTAAAAACCCCAAAACACCAATCAGAAAGAATGAATGTATGCACCCCTATGTTCATAACAGCACAATTTACATTAGCTAAGATCTGGAAACAGCCCAAGTGCCCACCAGTAGATGAGTGGATAAAAAAGCTGTGGTACATTCACACCACGGAATACTATACAGCTGTGAAAAAAGAAGAATCTCTTACCCTTTGAGACCGCTTGGAAGGGCCTGCAAAGTGAAATAAATCATTCAGAGAAAGGAAAGTATCAGATGTTCTCACTCATATGTGGAATCTAAGTAACAAAATAAATTGATGTACGGCGTGGATCAGAGACACAGAAGCATGGAACGGAGTGCGAGATCTCAGAGGGAAGGTGGGTGGGTAGGCGGTAATCAACCAAAGACCTTGTATGCATGTACGCATAACTTATGGACACAGACAATAGGGTGCTGAAGAC